CTGTATTAGCTAATAACCTCTATTAATTAATAGAAAATTAATAGTCCTAAACTGGGAATTAATATTATAGTTAATAACCTGTAATACTTAATATTTAATAAAAAAAAGTCAGATTCTAATTAATAATTATCAGAATGTTACACAAAATCCTGTGATTTTATTGGTTTAAATATTATACAAGATAATAATAATACTTTTATTATAATTTATAAATAAACTCGTGTTAAATCTCACTGGTTGTTAGTATATAACTACTATTTTTACATGATCGCATGTTGTTTCAGTTTCTTGGTCACTTCGGGTTTTTCATCACCATTACCTCCAAATTTGGGAATTCCTTAACAGGCCTATTTCCTTTATTGTATGCCAAGTATTTTTAAGATCTGGTTTGTTGGTAACGGGTTCCTTTTGCACAATGGCATATCCTCCTTGATCACAATTATCCGTGATAGTCGGTCGCTCTTTTTCATTGCAGGAATTGTCCAGTAGATTTATTAACATGTCTGACTCTTTATTGTCCAAGTGTTCATTGTTTCCAAAGGGGTATTGGAGCACCTTGTATTCCTGCCATTCCTTAAGGTTCGTTGCTGATTCTCTATTTTTCACGTCATACCTTATTTTAGTTATACTGTCATCATCATTCAAGACGTGTCAAAGCTTCATCTGTTGGCATACTAAAATACTCTTCTAGTATCTCCTATAGTGTAATCAATCATTGTTTTTCTCAGCTGATCATTCGTACTGCCTTGATCAGTTGCTGTTTTGTTGCAGTAAGGTCTTTGTGTTGTGTCTGTTGGTTCTCCTGTGATATTATTCTCCTCTTTCTTCTCCATTATGACATTATCTCTTATCAAAACTTCATTGTAAGCAGATTTCAGCATTTTGTCAGGTGGTTCTGCTGTCGTTTCCTTATAATATTTCTCCAGGATCTCGCTTGGGTAATCATCCATTGTTTCTTTTGAAGGTTCACTCTTTCTTCACAGGTTGAGGCCCATTCCTTCATCATGGCATTTTCTGTAGTTCGTAATATACGAGTCTTTTGACGAACTTTTCAGTTTTCCATTCTCGTCAGATTGTGATCTCTTCATCCTAAACAATCTTTGGGAAAACTTGCTCTTCCTTGGACAATCTTCGGCATTATGGTCTCTCTTCCTTGAGTCTCCATAATCCAAATCCTTTCACAACGGCGTTTCCAGTTCACTCGCACTTTCTTTAGTGTAAAAAGACCCTTTTTTGTCTGTCTTTTTACTATTAAATTTGGGAAGACAAATATTTAATTGTCTTTTAAAATCT